ATCCATGGTACTTCAGTGAACTTGAATGGCAGGTATAAGGTTGAAAACAACAAAGTCTGCTTATCCAAATGCAGGCAGGTAGAGATGGTGTCTTTACTGACATCAAAGATTACAGCAGTTGAGGACTGGCTTTAATGCAATACCAAATGAAAAATCAATAGCTTTCTTGGTTTCACGTTGTATTACCAATGCTTTGTGGCCAATTTCTTCAAGATTGGTGCATCATTATCTGCTATCATTAAAGAAATGCAAATTTTAGATGGACAGTGGAATGTGAGCAAACATTCCTGTCCATAAAGTGTGCTTTAGTGAAAGTTGCCAAGCTGGTATATCCAGAACAGGACTTGGAGTTCATTTTTGATACCAATGCCAGTGTTACCACAGCTGCAGGATGGATTGTAATTGTAATAGCATATACAACATATTGAATATACAAGACTACTTAGTGTAAGGATTATTATTTAGTTTATTTTGTGACTTGATATTTAATGATTGTTTAGTTTTTAAGACGGCAGTGTTGAAGATGGATTGTTTTAAAGGTGTTAGTTGGGATAAATTTTGTTGTGTAACTCTGTAAGAATAGTACATTGTGTTTGCAGTTACATTGTTGTCTAGGCTTTACTAATATTGTTGATGTCACCTTACATGAATCTACGGTATTTTCTTGACAGCTTATTATAAGTGCTATTATTTAGTTTATTTTGTAACTTGATGTTTAATGATTGTTTAGTTTTAAAATAGGAGATGGATTGTTTCAAAGGTGCTAGTTGGGATAACTTTTGTTAAGTAACTCTGTATGAATCTTAAATTGTGTTTTCAATTACATTGTTGTCTAGGCTTTGCTAATATTGTTGTTGTCACAATACTTGAATCTTTGGTATTTTTTTGACAGCTTAGTGTAAGTGTTATTATTTAGTTTATTTTGTGACTTGATATTTTATGATTGTTTAGTTTTTAAGACAGGAGTGTTGAAGATGGATTGTTTTAAAGGTGTTAGTTGGGATAAATTTTGTTAGGTAACTCTATGAATTGTACGCTGTGTTAGCAATTACATTGTTGTCTAGGCTTTGCTAATATTGTTGATGTCACAATATTGAAATCTTTGGTATTTTTCTTGTTACCTTAACTGAGTATTGTTACATTATGGTGCTGCTCATGTAGTTTGATGAAAATTTGAGGCCTCAGTGAACAATATATAAATATAGGTGCCAAGTGAGCACAAGTCAAGTGCAGTTAAGTCAGAAAATTAGTTAGCGAAAGAAAACGCAAAGTTAGCTGACATATTAGTGATTAGCTATAACAGGTAATATTTTAAAGAGTTTCACAGTTTAACAAAAATAAGGAGAATAATCTGTCTTGTCAAAGGGTGTTCTAAAGTAACTGAACCCATATGTGTGGCCTTTGACGAAAAGGAAACATTTATTTAAAGTTTGAGATACAACTGTGGTAACCCACTGGGTAATGTAAGTGAATTATTTACTGATACTATTATGATATGAGTAAAGAAAAATAGTTTATTTTGCCAAATGGATTCTAAAGTAATTGAATCAACTTAAGTGGACTTTTGACAAGAAAGAAAGAATTATTTAGAGTTTGAGATACAACATAGTGTAAAGACTTTTTTGTACATACTTTGACTTGATTTGAATACATTATTTTAAAACAAGTGGAGTGTGTGCTGTCCATTTGTTGTCAGATTTATCACCAACAAGTGACAGACACTTACTGTATAAGAATCCTTAGCCCACATATATATAAAACACTAACACAACACATACATTTATGGTACCTAAAGGTTGGTACAGCACAATGAAGAAAAACTCCAATCAGTTTTGAACTCTGTTAAATGACTGTTGACACTACCTGTATGACAGAAAGTTCACCCTTTAGAGGATCATGCATTGCTGAAGTAGCTTGTAAGCTTGAAGGGATGATAACATGTTGGATTACAACATTTCACAAATACGGCATGGTCATACAACATTGTGCAGTCCCACAACATGAAATGCTGTAGAGCGAGTGAGGCCCTATGCATTTGCTGAATATCCTGATCATGGATACTGTGTGGGAATAAAATCTATTTCTGTCACAGCAATGTCAAGCTCTACAGTCAGTGGTTTAACAGCGACTGGATACCATAAAACTAGCATGGGCACTCCTTGCCACGTAACAAAAGAAACCATAGCTAGCACAGACCAAGGAACATAAATAAACATACATAATCTATGGCACTTGCATAAGCAGATACAAGTGTAAGAAGGCATGCTGTATCATTATCACCCACTGATTCTCAATCTGTGTTGCAGCTAGTGATCTCCAGAGCTTTGAGGAAGTAAATTTTTCACACTCTGCATAATTCAAGGACTGGAGGCCACCAAGATGTTACACCCACTTGTGGTTTACTGGCCACATTTGAGACAAGGTGTTAAGCATAAGTGTTGACACTGCACAATGTATAATGCCAAGAGGAAAAATCACCTTAGAATTGTCGTTTCTACTTTACAGATAATAGCTCTGAATATCACTAGTCCTTTTTGGAGAATGAATGAGGTAATTGCTATTTGGTGGTCATTACTGATTACTTCACTAAGTGTGCTGAAGCTTGTCCATTAGTCAATACTTCAGCACAGTCTGTAGCTGATTTGTTGGTAGAGCATTGGATAGTTTAGTTTAACAACTGAAGAAATTCACCTAGATTAGGAAGTTGACTGACATAGTCAGCTTTGTCTGAGTTGTGCAAAGAGTTAGTTGAGGTGAAGATGCTCACTTTACTTTATCAACACCAGTTTGATGGCTTAATATAGTGGATGATACAAACTTTTAAGTAGATGTTTCCAAAGATTGTTCATCCTGGTTGGTTCAGCCAGGACAAAAACTTGCCAATGTTATGATGGCTTATGCACAACAGAACAGAGACTGGGTGTTGACCAAACATGAGCCTTTTTGTTTGGGAATTACTGCTTCCTCTGGTTGTGAATGTAAATGTGCTGCTTTTTCCACAAGAATACAAAGTGACCCAATTTGGGCACCAACAGCCAGGAAAGGCTGCCATATGATAAAAAAGGTGTTACAATAAAACAGTCAAGGAATGTATGTTCTATTGAGGAGAATAGGTATGGCTTTGGTATGTGACAGTGGCACAGAAGTATCTCAGCTCTAACTGGATGGGTCTGTATCTAGAAGTTTGACAGTTTGTTCCAATGACATATGACTCATAGCAATCACATGAGGTGCTTAAAGTAGTGGACCAAGTTAACAAGCTGAGGTCATATATTACTGATGAACCTTTTGTGCACTGGGTTTACTAGGAATAAGAGGTTGAGACTTTTAAGTCAGGGGACAGTTAGGATAATGTTTGTATCCTTTAAGCTCAGCTGAAGGGAAGATGATGATGAAAGTACTTATTTGGCTGGGCAAGGTGAATCAGATGAAGAATGCCTGAAGAGGTATTGGATAGCTCTAGCTGTTGGCAAAGGCACTGTCCTCCTGATCACTATGGTTCATATTAACTATCTGACCAGCAGCTAGTAATTTGGTGGAAAAAATCAATAAGTGAAAGGAATTGGTATTCGTCACTTTCCAATCAATCAAGTGATGTTTGTACAATGTATGAACTACACTGTTTGCTTGTTACTTGATTTTCCAAAAAGTTAGGATAGTTTGTTTTTGCAAGTTTAATGGGACCAAAAGAACACTGTAGCCCTTTCTTTCCAAGTTATTGAGCAGAGTTTCACTACGAGATATCTGCAGAATATCAGATGACAGCTAACAAAAGCTCAGTTTTTTTATTGCAAGATTAATGGGACTAAAAGAGAATTGTGACCCATATGTTCTGAGCTATTGAGCAAAGTTTCATTTCAAGATTTCTGAAAGATATCAAGATGATAGCTGCTCAATTATCACAGAGGTAGGAAGGTTTGTTGATTACAACAGTGAATGAACCAAAATGAGTGTTGTGACCCTCATTTTCAGTTATCAAATAGTATTTATTATGAGATATCTACAAAATATTGGATGAAGCTGCTTCCTTGTCTCACAGTTAGGATGATTGGTGTTACAGGTAATGCCTAGAACATCAATAAATAAATGTGATAAATGTATGTATGTGACAAGTGAGTCTGACTTTCTAGCTTATATCTGTGTAAGCAAAGAAGATTGAAGGCAATAAAAATAAGATTATGCCTAAGTAATACCTAGACTATAATGAGTAACTTACATTAAACTTGAGGCATCAGAGAAAAAATAAAGAATGGACAGGTTGGAAAGAATAAATGTCATGATACACACAGAAAAGAGAGATTTAGAATTTATTTCAATATTTTCTTCTAAAATTACCAAATTAAAACTTGTATAATACTAAGAATTGCTTTATTTACTCTGTTTTGATGTCAAGTTTATTCATATACATTGATAATAAAGTACAATTAAATTTTAATGAAATTTTGCCAAAAGTTGTGACATGAGCACTTTGGCCTATCTTTAGTGAGAGGGTTAAATGATTTTCTATAGCGAAATAATCATCTTATGTTTCTCAAAAATCATTCCACATCTAGCCAACTAGCAGAAGGTCTATGGTACCAACTGCACAGTTACACATTCAGGAACATGTCAGTTTTTCTAGAAAAAATGTAGTATTGTCAGCTATGGTCAAAGAACATTGTGGATAGAATATATAATAATGATACAAATGTATGTATTAGGTTTAAACATGTACCTATAACACTATCTGATAACAAAGCTTATAACTGATATTTGCATCCATCTATTGCCCAATACTGCAAATACAAAAAATACAGTATTTTCAAAATTCATTCATTCATTTTTTGTTCCATTTTAAATTTCGACACCAAAAACATGTACAAATTTAATACATTCAAAACTGATTAATTAATTTTCTGTTATCAATATCCATGGTAATGAGAATCACTGGTATTTGGTTACATTGCCGTTATTGGCAATACCAATACCAGCATAATGATCAGTGCATCTCTAATATTTACCTGAACTGCTACCATTGCTGCTTCTCTAACCATAGCCCCTATATCACCTCGATTACTTAATGTGTAATCTTTCATTCCAGCTAATAAACACCCATAAACCCGGTCAATATTTTCTTTACTGTGCTGGCCATCTTCTGATAAAGTAAGATCACCTCCTATTGTTTGACATACACTACTTAATGCTTTAACTGCATCACGTCGAGACTCTGCCCATGTTGATTCATTTTCAATCAGAGTGGCACATTCAACTAAACCATCAATAACTTTCTGAACTGAACCTGCAAAGACGAATTTAGGCAAAGAACCTAAAAAGAAAAGAAAACTTATCACTATCTCTTTCAGGCAAGAAAACTGGATAAATTAGTTTCTTCATATCTGTTGATTTTCCTATAAAAATTTTAGGAAGTTGTTAATTTACTGAAAATAACATTCTTGTTCATCTTCAAGACATAACAGATGCTCCATTGACACTCTTTTTTTTTTATGGTACGTCAATGATAAAGTCCTAAGAAATACTTTATATATATATATATATATATAAAATGATCCACCTCCAAATATTGTCAGTGTTCTTGCTTTCCAATATCAGAACATTTCTATGAATTAATCTTTTTTTAAACCACGAATGAAGTAGTGCATTTATACTGGACTGATACACCATCAGCATAATAATAAAAATATTAAATATTTTGAAGTATGTTTGAATATAATCAGAAAAATATTAGAGGTTTCATATTTTCTTTGAGTCAATAAAATCATAAATAGCTGAGGAGAGGCAGTATGGTTTGTCTCATACAAGCAATACTAAAAACCCGTTACTAAATAACTGATTGAGTTTTTATACAAACCTATTGCTAAGGCATTGCCACATCGAGCTTCCTGCTGAGTAGACTTTAAGTGTAGAAGACAACTGTCCAACAGCTTAGTGTATCGAGGTCTGCACGAACCGTAGTATTCAATGCACAAAGCTGAAAGAGCTGATACAGCATAAGCTCGGATGTCTGGTTCAACATATCGTAAACACTGTTCTAATATATCTTGCCACAGATCTGAAACAAAAAGATTAATGAAGTCTCGAATAAAATTTTATGTACATTCAAACAGCTAATATTATCAAAATAAAAATTCCAAGAATGTAGCTGTTGTAACAGTTTAAAAACGTTCATAAACACCTGTAAGCTTAATATTTTCAAAATGATTTTCACAAGCATTATTTCTTATTAAAAGTATATCAGTGTAATATAACATATATAGAACTAAAACTATTTCAACAATTACAAATAAGTACCTATCAAAGTATACTTAGAAAAAATAATAAATGTTTAAACCTAGAAGATACATGTTACAAGGCCACTCACATCTGAATTTGTTCAGAAGTGCGAGATGATAATTTTTTCATAATGAAAAGCAGTATTTAGAATAATATATATATATATATAGTCTGAAACAAGATTATTGTATAACATGGTATATAAGTAGCATTTCTTGAATGTTTTTGAATTCAACACATACCTTCTCATAACTCAACAAATGTACACTCTAGAGTCAGATGTATGTTATGAACTTTTAAAGTGTTATAGTCAAAATTTAAACAACTTTATTATCAATGTATGTCAATAAACTTAGCATAACAACATAGTTTATAACTTAAATTTTAATATTATTTAAGCTATATTAATTTCAAATGTAAATATAAAAAAAAATTCTCACTCTTCACTTCTCTGTGTCACCTGATGTGTCTGTGCTTCAAATTGCCCATATTTTTCTATCCTTATATAATTTTCTGAATGTCAAACTAAGTGAACACACATACTACTGATATTGAAAAGATAGAATATAAATTAAGAACCTCCAATCTTCTTGCTTTAATAATTTATAAAAAAATTTCAGCTCACACAACAGGTCCCTTCCATGTCATTCTGTCTTTTCAAAAATGTCAGTATTTCTTTTTAACATTTCTATTGGATTATTTATAATCAACAGAAAGAATAGTTCTTACTTTACAGGATCCTTTATACTTTTATTTTATTTTGGTATCCTAAATAGATACTTAGCCTCAGTTTCATTTTTTGCAAGTGTGTTTTTCTGATTCGGGCATCTAATAGAATTTTTTAAAATTATTTATAGCTTAGTTAGAAAACCAGTTAAATTATAAAAGTTTGGGACATTTTTTCTAGTGCCTGATATATTTTTAAGTTCTAAAATGCACACTTGAAAGGAACATTAATGATTTTGTGAGAAACCAACATAGTATGAAAAAACTAGTGCTAAAAAAGTTCATTTTTGGGTATAAATAACTGAAGTGGGCTTCAACCCTAATGGAAGTCCAAAATTTCTAGTTTTTATTCATATTTTTTATGTAGTTATATATTTTTTTAACAAAAGTAACTAAAATGTAAAAATCAAGAGCTTATTTAGTAAGTTAATAAAAATGTAAATTAAAAACATTTTACGAGACCAGCTTGAGCTAACTGCATCACGTGATTGTAACTTTACCAGTTATGTACAAGTTTCCCAAAATGGTTAATTATCTGTTATGTAGTTTGACATAAAGTAATAAAATTAAAAAGCATGCAGATGCGAAAAGGTTAATAGTTAAGATATTATAATAAATAATCGTAATGGTCTGTTACAGTTTGTAGTCATTCAAGAAAAAAAAAAAGGTATTATTTACTTTATTTCATATATTCAATTTTTTTTTACACTTCTGTACATTGATGTTTTAGGTACAGTTAACTGCTTCCATATCTTGGGTAAAATGAAATGCTCTGACTATTAATTTATATTTGTTATGTATCATAACTATTATCTATAATAAAATGTGAAATTGCTAAACATTATATACATATATTGTTTAATAACGAATAGGCATGATGTATGTTAAAAGTGACAGTTTATTGCTTAAATTTAATTTTGCAAACTTTCAATATGATAGGTCAAACTGTTTTGAATTACTTATAATTTATCAGAACACACATAATAAGTGCAGTTTATCCATTTGTGATAACACATACCAATCACACTTTTAAATTCATATCACAAAAATCTTATTACAGCATATACAACAGTACAGGTTTTAACAATTGTATTACTATGTTGCAACTTTTAATACATAGAAGGAACATGTTCATTGCTGTAAAATGAAATATTCTTTAACAAGTATGCTTCTATGAGAATATATATTAAAATTATTTTCTGATATGCATGCATGCACAAAATGTACAAAGCCTTTAGCTGCTAACCATATAATGCAATAAACTCATATTTCTGATTTCTATAAACTAATTGCACATATTAAAAAAAATTATCCAGTGATCCAGATAAGTATGTATTATTTTTGAACATGTACATATCAATTTCATCTATATCAAAAATATTGAAATCGTTGAATCAATATGACTATATATTTATCAATCAATCAATTTAGCAAAACTATTTTCAGGTTTATACAAATATTGCTCGTTTATGATATCACCAGTAAATAACTAAGTTGTAAATTCTTATTATACATACAGAATATTTCATAAATAAAATCAGCCCTAGTGATAAAACATCCACAATATTTATAACTGCACTGCTCTTATGCCATCAGAATATACAATCATACTCATAAGTAAACTGGCACAAACACTAATCTCATTGTATGCAAACATGTTTGTCACTGACAGTGATATTGCATAGTATAATTGCGCCACTCAATTTTTTCAGTTTTCTGTTTTGTTCTTGCAAAATGTTGCTAATTACATAAAACCTGCTATTCAGTAAACTTTTACTTCAAGGGCTCACATGATATTTATTCTGGTATGGTCCTTGGATTTAGACCAAATGACAAGCACTAACACATTGCCCAAACTCGACCACACAACACGACACAATCTCCCTAGTAATTAATACCCTGGTCTGAAAATCCAGTTTCAAAACAATACCAAAACTATTAATACAGTTCTGTCAGGTTGCTCATTCTAACCTTTACTTTTGGTCATTATTTTATTCCTGTTCCTAGCATTTTGTTTGTTGCTTGACAAACACAGGGCTACCAATTTCTTAGGAATCTGTTTGAGTGAGACTTCTGAAAAAGTAAAATTTCAATACACAGTAAAATGTTGTGAACACCAAAGGCAGTCACCTTCTATGTGGATCTGGAAGCATGTTATCAAATAAGCTTGATCTTTTAATCAATGAAGCAAATGGTACTATCTGGTGCACTTCCTGGATCAATATGATGTTAAATGTGACATGGACACAGTCAGTCAGTCAAACTACCACAATGCATTATAGAAAGCTGCTAATTTGACCAAAATTTGAGATTTTCATACTAATGCAAAAGAGTATGAAAACAGACACAAAGTTATTAGCCTCACACTGAATGAGTAAATGTTGGTAGCTCTATAACAGTACATTTTTCTAATATATTTCTCTGATATGCAATGCATTAAAATAGATGTTATCAGATAAATGGGACGTATTCAATTTTTCATTGGTGCAAGTAAAATTATTTTTACAAATATTACTGGATAGCAAATAACTTCACATTCCTAGAAACTCTTACATCTGCCATATTACTGTCAATGAAACAATCTATGTTTCAATATTTTCTAATTTGATTTCTTTTTTTTACACATTTTGTTATCTGCAAATTACTGATATTATACATTGTCATATATATTCTGCTTTATATGGGTTTTCCTTAACTGTCACTAGTGATATTCTACATATTTCTTGAAGATAGTGACTATTAATGACACCAGCCCAAGCATGACATCATGTGCAAAAGTCAATGCTTAGTTTTTATACTTTGTTTTATAACAAATTAACAGAAAATTACTAATAAATTAAAACATTATATAATTATTAGACTTATTTTTGATAACTGAGTAAATATAAGTACAGATATAAAATAAAAATTTACCAAAGCTGTGTAAGATTTGTTCTATCTTGTAATTGTCAGGCTTTACAGAAATAATCAAACTGTCTGTTTTCTTTTTGATATCTTTCAAATCTTTCCTACACAATTATGTCAATGAAATAACATGCTTGAGGTATTACATATATTCCTATGACTATTGGCATAGGGACTGTTTTACTAATACATTACAATTTGTAAGATCAAAGTAATTTATTTAATGGAAATAGCCTACTTTTAAATAGTAATTTGTTAAAGGCTTTTATGTTTTAGTAAAATGATCCTCCATGGCCTAGTTTTAGAAAGACAAGACAAAGTTGTGAAGAGTCCTTACACTCTCTTCAGGCAGGAACCTAACTAATGTTATGGTTGGTTTCATATTTCATGACAATTATTGGTGAGCATAAAGACTGACATACATAAAACATATTTTTACACATAAAATATGCACAATGATGTGCTAAATGTGCCAGAATTAACCTTTATGCAATTTTTTTGTCACTAATGATAATTTATTTTTTTACTATACATGTCCTACAAACATCACTGAATCACATGAAACTCACTGACATTTACTAGGCCAGGAATCCAAAATATAAAATGTGCTAACATTTCTAGTTTCCCTGACCCTTGGTAACCATGATTAATGTTAGGGTAGAGAAAGTACAATGCAGAATATAGTTTTGTTAAGAAAACTTTAGACAGTTAGGAGGTCCGAGAGGATATGCAAATAAAATATGAAAACTGTAATATGAAAAGAAGTATTTTATTCTTAACTTGAAAATCACATTTCACTCAGACTGACCCAGTAAAGGATTTGTAAAGGATTCATAGACAAATTTTTAATGGAAATACTTTATTAAAAACGTTTTTTTGCAGACTTATGATATTTACGAAAAACTTGCCAAATTTCACAAATGATACACATTTAGTAAATTCTGGATTATAGCAAAAATTACTGTGTATAGCCTAATGAACTATTTTGTGATTAACTAAGCCATAATGATATGACCTAACTGACAAATAACACTAAGCCTAACTCAATAATGATAAAAAATTGATTTCTTACTTTTTTCAACAGACAGCAGCAAATCATCTCAAGCTTTTTGTAAAGGTTTAGTTATATTCACTATAGCTGTAACCAAT